CTCGCCGGAGAAGACGAACCAGAGGCCGACCGCCGCCGCACCGGGGAAATTTCCGACCGCTGATCGAGGTAAATTTCATACCCCCGACTCGTTTTTCCACGCTGATTCCTCCTATGGCCAAATCGAAGCCAAAATTCCGGCCAAACGGCCGGAATACGCGGCCGAAGACCAGCGGCGCCGCCGCGCCCCCTCTCGGTTTTTGCCTCCGACGAGGCCCTTCCCGGCCTCCGTTTGATGCAATTTTTATATCACCGTGATCACCATTCTTTTCTCTACAGGTTGACCGGAGCCGAATCACCAAAACACGAACCTCGCCGGAGAGCCGCCGCACCCGAGAGCGCCGCCGCCGGTAAGCTCCGTTTTCCGTAATTTTTTTGGCCCCCCGAGGGCCCTAGGGTTGTTTTCTCACAGGGACCGATGTGAGTGTGGCCGAATTCGGCCGAAAACAGCCAACCCGAGGCGACTCGCCGTCGCCGGAGCACGGCGGAGCCGCCGTGCCGGAGTTGCGATTTGGGCCGAAAGAGGCCCTGGGCCTAATTTGGGTTTTTTTTGGAACACGTGCAGGTACCGTTAGTGTGTTTCAGTTCCCCGGGAAAAATTCAGGGAAAATTAGGGACGGCCTGTAGGCGCACTGTGAATCGTATTCGGATCCTGAAAACAAGTAAGGACCCCTCACCCTATTTCCTATCACGGTATTAAAGTTCAAAATGATAAAACGGTATTTCTTGAATTAACGCATGTGTGAAATTGCTTAAGGTTGCTAATGGAGCCCGAGTCTAGTGTGATTTATGATTTACTGTTATTTGGCCTGTTTTACAGCTTTAAATGCATTATGAGGTTTGATGTGTTCATTTTATAGTTTCGAGTGCATATATTACTGTTTTATTTATTTATGGGTTGAAAGACTGAAGAACTGATGCTGTATGTTGTCTGTTTGGCATGAATTACGATTTGCTTTCTTAAATGTGAATTGATGATGCTTATTGAGGAAAAGGAAAATGAAAGATTGTGTAGATTGATAATTGTATGATGGGGTTAGCCTGACTAGATATCCTGGGAGATGGTGGACGGACCGGGTCCGTAGGGAACCCTACCGGGATTGTGGTCTCACATGCCGGACGGGGTATGGAGATCTTATGGTTTTGGCGCCCATACTCGGACGGGGTATGGGGACGGCCCGTTCACC